ATGACCCTCACCATCTCTCACAGGGACCCTGTCATCACCTCTCCAGAGCCCCCTCCTCCAGCCATTCACCACATCAGCACTGGTTACAACAGGCTAAGGGAGCATCGGTTCTGGAACAATTAGTGGTGCAGTTCTATCTGTGTAGAACGGTATATATGGCTGTTTATATATCTATGGATGTAAATAGAAAACCTCAGAGAATAAACCAAAAAATATTAAGAGTGGTTCTCTCTAACATGTGATCTGTTGTTTCCATATTTTGGAAACTACTGGGAATTGGGAAAACATCATTATTAATGTTATAATCAGGAAATAATTAAAGCTACTTTTTAAAAGGAAAAAAGAAGAAAGGTTTCCATGGCATTCTACTGCAAACAGGATAAAGTCCAAACTAGCATATAAGGTCCTCCATCCATGACCCCAGATTACTTTTCAAACATTATCTTCTTCTGTGTCTCTGACACATACCCGAAATAGAAAACACACTAGACACTCTTTACCCTGAATTCAGCCTTCACAGTCCAACTTCCAAGCCCTCCCCTATCTTGTTCTCACAGCCTGTCTCTTGAAGATTTTCCCAGGTGCCTCTCTTAGAATCTACCTGCTAGAAAGCACATAGAGCATTCATTTCATTTGTACACGTAACACAATTAGTTGTGTTTTTCTCTCCACTAAGCAGTAAGCTGTTCAAAGGAAGGTTGTGTCTTCTTCCCAGAAGACTTGGCTCACTGTCTTGCACCCAAAGATAGCCAATAGATGTTCATTGAAATAAATTACAGAAGACTGAACAGGATGATACACCTGGGGCAGTTGCAGAAGACTTGACAGGGGTGGGATTTGAGCTGGGTTTAAAGAAGGGGTGATATTTAAAGAGAAATGATAGCTGATTACATTTATAATTCTATGGTAAAAACACAAGGACTTTCCCCAAGGACATTGTTGTCATTCTGTTGTAGACTGCTTGATGCTACAGGGTAAACTGATGCTAAAAATTATTTAAAAAGGACAAACGACAAAGTGGGAAAATATTTACAACATATATAATAAAGGATTAATAACTACATATCAACACGAAAATATGGGTAAATGGGGAAAAGGGCAAGTGACAAAAGAACAAAGACAATAAATACAAGGGGAAAAGTTTAACTTCATTAGTAATAAAATAAATGGAAATTAGAAAGAGATACAAATTTTTTGACTTTCAAAATGACAAACGAAAAGATACTACTCAGTGTCAGTGAGGGAAAGACAAGGGAATTTCATGGGGCTGTAACTTTTCTGGAAAAAAAACTTAGAAAAAGTTTCCAAGAGTTTTAAAAATAATTAATTCCCTTTGACCTAGTAATTCTACTTGTAGGATTCTATCCTAAGGAATTAATCAGAAATGTGCAAAAAGTTTTATATATAAGCAACACCATCCATAAGAATTAAAAACCAGAAACAATGTAGACTATTAAATGTAAGAAAACAATTAAAGTGTATTACTTTGGAGAAATGTCTATTTAGGTCTTCTGCCCATTTTTGGATTGGGTAGAAGACCAAAATAGACATTTCTCCAAAGAAGATATACAGATTGCCAACAAACACATGAAAGAATGTTTAACATCATTAATCATTAGAGAAATGCAAATCAAAACTACAATGAGATATCATCTCACACCGATCAGAATGGCCATCATCAAAAAATCTAGAAACAGTAAATGCTGGAGAGGGTGTGGAGAAAAGGGAACACTCTTGCACTGTTGGTGGGAATGTAAATTGATACAGTCACTATGGAGAACAGTATGGAGGTTCCTTAAAAAACTAAAAATAGAACTACCATACGACCCAGCAATCCCACTACTGGGCATATACCGTGAGAAAACCATAATTCAAAAAGAGCCATGTACCAAAATGTTCATTGCAGCTCTATTTACAATAGCCAGGACATGGAAGCAACCTAAGTGTCCATCAACAGAGGAATGGATAAAGTAGATGTGGCACATATATACAATGGAATATTACTCAGCCATAAAAAGAAACGAAATTGAGTTATTTGTAGTGAGGTGGATGGACCTAGAGTCTGTCATACAGAGTGAAGTAAGTCAGAAAGAGAAAAACAAATACTGTATGCTAACACATATATATGGAATCTAAGAAAAAAAAAAAGGTCATGAAGAACCTAGGGGTAAGACGGGAATAAAGACACAGACCTACTAGAGCATGGACTTGAGGATATAGGGAGGGGGAAGGGTAAGCTGTGACAAAGTGAGAGAGTGGCATGGACATAGATACACTACCAAACGTAAAATAGATAGCTAGTGGGAAGCAGCCGCATAGCACAGGGAGATCAGCTCGGTGGTTTGTGACCACCTAGAGGGGTGGAATAGGGAGGGTGGGACGGAGGGAGACGCAAGAGGGAAGAGATATGGGAACATATGTATATGTATAACTGAGTCACTTTGTTATAAAGCAGAAACTAACACCATTGTAAAGCAATTATACTCCAATAAAGATGTTAAAAAAATAAAGTGTATTACTATATATACGTGATCCTGTCATTTAAAAAATCTTATATTTTTAAAAGAATAGTTACTGTCATTGGGGCAAATGCTCACAATATAGTATACAACGAGGTTACAAAGAAGATTAAATTGAATGCATTCTGGAAACAGAACTGAAGACAGAAATTGGGCTTCCCTGATGGTGCAGTGGTTAAGAATCCGCCTGCCAATGCAGGGCACAAGGGTTCGAGCCCTGGTCCAGGAAGATCCCACATGCCGCGGAGCAACTAAGCCCGTGTGCCACAACTACTGAGCCTGCACTCTAGAGCCCGCGAGCCACAACTACTGAAGCCTGCGCGCCTAGAGCCTGTGCTCTGCAACAAGAGAAGCCACGGCAATGAGAAGCCCGCGCACCACAACGAAGAGTAGCTCCCGCTTACTGCAGCTTGAGAAAACCCATGAGTAGCAATGAAGACCCAACGCAGCCAAAAATAAATAAATAGCCTCTAGGAAATGGGATTGGGGAGAGGGGGACCTTTCACATGTTCTCTCTCTCTTTTTGTTTTTTTAATATAAATTTATTTATTTATTTTTATTTTTGGCTGCTTTGGGTCTTTGTTGCTGCGCGCAGGCTTTTCTCTAGTTGCGGCGAGCGGGGGCTACTCTTCATTGCGGTGCGCGGGCTTCTCGTTGGGTGGCTTCTCTTGTTGCAGAGCACGGGCTCTAGGCGCGCAGGCTTCAGTAGTTGTGGCACTCGGGCTCAGTAGTTGTGGCTCGCGGGCTCTAGAGCGCAGGCTCAGTAGTTGTGGCACACGGGCTTAGGTGCTCCGTGGCATGTGGGATCTTCCCCGAGCAGGTCTCAAACCCGTGTCCCCTGCATTGGCAGGCAGATTCTTAACCACTGCATCACCAGGGAAGACTGTTCTCTCTCTCTTTTTTTTTTTCCAATGAGTAAGAATAATAGTAGTGGCTATACTACCAACAATAATTTGAACGTTTACTGTGGGCCAAGCATTGTTCTAAGTGCTTTATGTTTACTTTCTCACAGAATCCTCACAACAACTTGTTGAGGTAAGTGTAATATTGTCATTCTCTCCCTTCACAGGTAAGAAAATTGAGGCACGGAGAGGTCAAGCAAGTAGCTCAATGTAGAGCTAAGACTCAAGTGTGGCATTTTGGGTGGGATGAATTGGGAGATTGGGATTGACATATATACACTACTCATACTATGCATAAAATAGATAACTAATGAGAACCTACTGTATAGCACAGGGAACTCTACTCAGTGCTCTGTGGTGACCTAAATGGGAAGGAAATCCAGAAAAGAGGGGATATATGTGTACGTATAGCTGATTCACTTTGCTGTGCAGTAGAAAGTAACACAACATGGTGAAGCAACTATACGCCAATAAAAATTAATTTAAAAAGAAAGTGCAAGAGAGCAAGATTCCAGAGTCTTGCTCTCTTCAAGTACTACGGTGCCTCTGACTATATATTTGTAGTACTGTGTTTGTAAATTAAGAAACTGATCCCACCTTTGCCCTGGCTGGTCCCTCTGCTGAAAAAGTTTCTTCTCCTACGTAGCTACTTAAGTCCCTGATCTCTTCAAGTCCTTGCTTAATTGTGGCCTTCACAGTGAGTCCTACCCACTAAACACAGGGTTCAAACTTGCAACCTGCCCCTCTATTTTACTCTGCTTTAATTTTTCCATAGTATTTCTCTAGCATATTATACAATTTTCAGATTACCGTATCACTTCTCTTTGTCCCTCACCTTCCCTCCAGCCCACTATGGGAGCTCCATTAGGTCAGGAGTTTTTACCTGTCTTGCTAATCGATGTATCACAGTCTGAAAAAGTACTGGCACAAATTAGGTGAGCAACAAATACTTGTGGAGTAAGTAACTTTTAAAAACATAGCATGATTCCAATTTTACTTTCGTATTTTAAAGCATAAACATGTATATGCATGTGTATGGGGGAGGGAGAAGAAAAATAGTCTAAATGTTAATGGTGATTTCAAGTGATATTTTTCCTTCTTTATGTTTTCCTGTGGTTTTATTCCCCAAACTCAATGGGAAAATGTATTATTTTATCATAAGAAAATTCTAAACCTCGGGTGACATGCATTGCCACACACAGCAAATTGTCTTTACTGCAAGTTGCATGAAGCCGTTTTCCTATGTGAAACGCAATCAACAATTCAAGAGGTATTGATGATCTTTAAATAAATTATTGCTTTTAAGCAATCGCCCGGTATTTTGTGGTGGTTAAATATTTCTAAAAGGAATAAAAATCCTTGCCTCGCCTGTCGACCGCGGCATCCCTGGGGAACACACCCACCTAGCAACCCGGAGCCGAGCCTGGCACTACGCCTTTAATTCCCGTGTTGGGCGGGGCGGTGGAGAATTTCCGCTCCCCCACTCCCACCGCGTCCCTGGTGGCAGCTGTCACCTGTAAAGCGAGCACCGCGCACGGGGGATGGCTCCCAGCGCCCATTGGACATAATATAAAGGCAGAAACCTACCCCCGAAGACTGGGAGCCTGGAGGGGCGGCGGCGGGGGGCGCGCGCCGCGGCCCCCAGCTTCTTTTTCCAGGAGACTCCTGGGCCCCGCGGCGCGGGCATGACCGAGGTCCAGCTTCAGGGACACGCCCGTTACGCCTCGTTGAAAACCATCAGGTGAGCCTGGCCGAGGCGGACGTGACTCCTGGAACTCCGGCTCCAGTGCGTCCCAGCTGGCGCCGCGACGTCCTCCTGCCCAGCAACCGGGAACAGCTGGTCGGTGGGAGTGGAAGGCCCCGGCTCCCCTGCGGGACCGGACTGACCATGGCGCTGGCCGCGGCCGCTGCCGCGGCCGCTGCGGCCGCCGGGGTGAGCCAGGCGGCAGTGCTGGGCTTTCTGCAGGAGAACGGCGGAAAGGTGCGCAACTCTGAGCTGCTGAGCCGCTTCAAGCCGCTGCTCGATGCTGGCGACCCCCGAGGCCGCGCTGCCCGCAGGGACCGTTTCAAGCAGTTTGTCAACGACGTGGCCGTGGTGAAGGAGCTCGACGGCGTCAAATTTGTGGTGCTGAGGAAGAAGCCGCGGCCCCGGGAGGGACCAGAGTCCCTTCCCTCCTGCTTCCCGAGCACCCCGGTGGCATCAGCACCGCCGTCGAAGATCACCTCCGTCTCACAGGGGGAAACCGCTGCTTCGGGGGCTCCATCCTTGGCCTCGGCGCAGAGGGCGGTGGAACCACCTGAGGACCCGGCTCCGCCATCAGAGCCACAGGACACCCCCGGGGCTCAGGACCCTGAGCCCACTGAGCTAACTAAGGGGCTGCTGTTAGTCCCAGACCGTCGGTCAGGGATGCCCTCGGACCCCCAGATTACAGCCTTTGAGCTAGCCCAGCCCTCCGAGGGACTCTCTGCAGACGTGGCCCCACCGTCGGAGGCAGCTTTGCCCCATGCAGAACCGCCAGACCCGGAACCTGCGCCTGGGCTGACAAAAGGGCCGCCACCACCCGCTCTGCGCGCGCTGCCGCAAAAGCCCTGCATGCTGCCCGTGCGCTGCGTCCCGGGCCCCGCGGCGCTCCGGATCCGGGCGGAGGAGCAGGGCCTGCGTCGGCAGCTGTCGGAGGAGCCCAGTCCACGGAGCTCCCCGCTGCTGCTGCGGCGGCTCTCAGTTGAGGAGTCCGGCCTGGGCCTCAGCCTGGGCCCCGGCCGCTCCCCGCACCTGAGGCGCCTGTCGCGCGCCGGCCCTCGCCTGCTGAGCCCGGACACCGAGGAGGTGCCCGCCGCACCACCGCCGTCCGCCGTACCCCTGGAGCCGGCCGAACACGAGTGGCTAGTGCGGGCTGCCGGGGGCCGTTGGACCCACCAGCTGCACGGGCTGCTGCTGCGCGACCTCGGCCTGGCGGCCAAACGCGACTTCATGTCTGGTTTCACGGCCCTGCATTGGGCCGCCAAGAGTGGCGACCTTGAGATGGTGCAGCAGCTGGTGGAGATCGCGCGGCGTGGAGGCGCGCGGGTCGACGTGAACGCGCGCTCACACGGCGGCTACACGCCGCTGCACCTGGCGGCTCTGCATGGCCACGAGGATGCAGCGGTGCTGCTGGTGGTCCGCCTGGGTGCGCAGGTGCACGTGCGTGACCACAGCGGGCGGCGCGCTTACCAGTACCTGCCATCAGGCGCCTCCTACGCGCTTCGCCGCCTACTTGGCGACCCCGGCCTGAGAAGCTCTACCGAGCCCGATGCGACCGGTGGTGGTAGTGGCGGTTTTGCGGCCCGGCGCCCGGTGCAGGTGGCCGCCACCATCCTCGGTTCCACCACCAGCGCGTTTCTGGGCGTCCTGGCCGACGACCTGATGCTCCAGGATCTGGCTCGAGGCATGAGGAAGTCAGGCTCCTTAAGCAAATTCTTGGGTGCCTCGCCCATGGCTCCTCGTAAAAAGACAAAAACCCGCAGTAGTCTGCAAGTCTTTTCAGAAATCTCCCGTCGACCCACTCCGGGGCCCTTGGCTGGTCTAGTGCCCAGCCTACCCCCAGCAACCTGACGGTTCCTGAGGCTACGGCTGAGTTGCTCTAATCGGGCCTGCCTCTCACAGTCTAAGCCTGCCCAAGACGGCGGTCCAAAACCTTCGGCTCCATCTTGTTTCCAACTTTGTCCACTGCAGCCTGTTTTACCCAAGTGGGCCTACGCCTCCAGCTTCTGTCTGAAGCTTGATCTTTCTCCAGAGATGGGATTCAAGATCTCAGTGAGAGCCTCCTATGAAGAACTACAGAAGTCAGGATTGAACTTTGGAGGAAATTTGAAATTTAGGATCAAAGGTTAAGGGGCAGCAGCTGGTCTGGCCCCTGAATGATTTAACCCGATGCCTCTGCATCTATATACTCCCAAGCCAGAATTAGAGCTTTGTGTGATGATGGATTGTCAGCTTTAAGATATGTAGTGCTTTTGTAATTTGATGCTTTTATCCTGTTTTTAAATTGAAATGAGGTAAAACAACTTTCATAAAAAAACCTTTTGAAAGTATATTTTTCCAAAATGCTCATTTTCAATCTTTTGCTAAATATTTTGGAACTCTATTAAAAAAAAAAAAAAGATGATCAAGATCTAAAGGAAATTAGTCCCAACCAACAAAACCCTTGAATGGTTATCTACCTCATTTTAGGCAATCGAGATTCCAGAGAGTCTTGAATACAGAATGTGACCATTGTGAATGTAATTAATTTCAGTTGTACTGAGAATGCTAAATATTAGAAAACAAGTATATCTTGGGAGTAAAAGTGATTTAACAATGAGAGAAAAGAGTCACTTTGGCAAATACTTTTAATTTGTGGTTGTCTTTATGGTGAAATATAAACGTGTATCTTTGGCACTGGTGGCTGGCTACTTTGATATGGCATGAATATTTAATTTTTTAAAGTGTGATTTATTTGTGAATTGCACCATTGTGCCACGTTTCTGAATCTGTGGCTTTCAAATCCGGCTGAGCCTTTCAGTGCAGTAAGTGAACATTCAAAGAAAAAAATGTCATAGCATAACACTAGAAAAATCACTGGTTAAATAGTAACAGATACAATTAAGGAGCAACTACTTTATATGAAAGTTCTGTACAAGCAAAAGGTACGTGATATCCATTTTAAAAAGCCATCTGAAAGCAAACAACTTATTCCAAAATAGCAAATGCAGAATCTCTTTGCTTAGTGACCTTAGAGAGGGGTGGCTTGATTCATCTGTATCTTTGCTCCTATTTGTAATTGAGAAGGTTTTAAGTATTGCCAAGATTTCTCAGGTTCAACACAGTGTAATTAAAATGGCTCTTTCCCCATTTTAAAGATGCGGAATCTATTTGCTCAACCAACCTTTTTATATCATATTGTAATAATGCTCTGCTTTTGCAAATTGGGTTTGCATGTCATTAGTTATGCCAAATAGTTTTTGTGGCACAGGGTACTGGAGTTCCCCTCCCATATGTGTATCAGTGAGGCCTCTGAAATTATTTAAGGCAGTCTTTCATGGAATGTTTTGATTTAAGCAATGAAATAAAGTCTCCCATTTTGTTCCTGCTTGTGTGATGATGCACTTCCCTTAAACAGTCTACAGCACTTGCTACTGTATTTTGCTTTTCTTTTCACTTTTCTCCTCATCCTTCTGCCTCTTTCAAGCATTCTACTATTGAAAGAATTTGGATTTCTCTGCAAAAAAAAGGAGTCAACCAAACATGGATATGGTAGCCAAAAACTGTAGGTAAATGTAGGCCCGGATCTGACCTCTCCCACCTTCCTTGCTTGGAACTCTAGCTAAGCTGCATAAATTATTTCAAAATGAAAATTAAAGTCTTCTGCCTCTGCAAAAACAAAAAAAAAGACAGGAGGCAATAATTTAAGCAATCTCAGTAGCTGAAGGTCTAGGACAGGATAAAATATTAGAGATTTTTCATGGTAAAAGAGAGGCCTGACTGAGACAGGTAACAAAGGTCACACACACAGGTATGACCAGCTTTGAGAAAGACAAAATGTAAACCAGCAAAGTAGTAATAACAATAACTAATGTTTATGGCACACTTAAATCAGATGAGGGTTCTTGAACCGCCAGAAGAATCTTTGTGTTTCAGAAGGGTGTGCTGCAAGCCTGCCCAGTGAAGTAAAAACATTTGGCAAGAGTTTAGGATCAATAAGCCTAAAATTCAGGTGTTAGAAACCACTGCTTTTTCCTTGCAGGCTAAAACTTTCTGAAACTGTAAGTCAGTAGGAAATTACAGTTGATATGCATATGGAAAGTTTTCAAGAACAATATCTGACTAACAGGAGGTACACCTGTGGAAGGATATTTCCAACAACTGACCAAAAAATAGTTGTTCATTGGTTAAGGTAATTTACCTGGTTAAAATTATCACAGGGAAGAGAATCACTCCTCTTAATGGGGGAAGAGTTAATTGCTGATGTAGATGTGTATGAGTCATGTCCACAGCAAGCTTTTTATTTTTATTGTTTGGCTGCACCGGGTCTTTGTTGCTGCGCGCAGGCTTTCTCTAGTTGCAGTGAGCGGGGGCTACTTTTTCATTGCAGTGCACGGGCTTCTCACTGCAGTGGCTTCTCTTGTTGAGGAGCACGGGCTCCAGGTGTGCAGGCTTTGGTAGTTGTGGCTTGCAGGCTCTAGGCATGCAGGCTTCCGTAGTTGTGGCGCATGGACTTAGCTGCTCCGGGGCATGTGGGATCTTCTCCGACCAGGGCTCGAACCCATGTCCCCTGCATTGGCCAGCGGATTCTTAACCACTGCGCTGCCACGGAAGCCCCCACAGCAAGCTTTTTAATACAATTGTACATTTCCTCTAAGGAGGATGGAAGCTGTTCTTTTTTAAAAAAAAAATTTTATTTTGGCTGCATTGGGTCTTAGTTGCAGCACGTGGGATCTTTAGTTGCGGCATGCGGACTCTCAGTTGCAGCCTGCATGTGGGATCTAGCTCCCCGACCAGGGATCGAACCGGCCCCCTGCATTGGGAGCATGGAGTCTTACCCACTGGACCACCAAGGAAGTCCCTGGAGGCTGTTCTTGAGCATGTGTTACTTACCTAATGGAGACCAGGGTATGGGTAACACACATATGACCTGTGTTTACTAAGTGCCAGGCACACTTGTAAACACTTTGCAGGTATTAACTACCACCTTACAAGGTATGCACTGTTAGTGTCTTGATTTTTAAAGTGAGGAAACTGAAGCTTAGAGAAACTTTAAGTAACTTGTACAGGCCTCACAGCTAGTAACTCTCACAGTCAGTATGGCATCCTGTTGCTCTTTTCCATTACAGTGTCCTGTTGCAGAAAAGCAAGGTGGTCTCATCTCATCTCTTTATTCATTTAGTGACCTTAGGCAAGTCACCCAAGTCTCCAAGCTCCATCTCCCTCTCTGTGGAACTGGCAGTACATATCCTACAGGCTGTGGGGAGGAAGGAACACAGGGAAGGAGTAGGTAAAGTCGTCTGTGAACTGCAACACCATCCTGAAATATTACAAGGAGTGCCAAGTTGGTCCCAAAGGGATATCTGGCTGCATTTCAAAACCAAATAGCTCTGATTCGTGACGTTGTTCTACATGATCACCATTCTTTTGCCATGTTAGTATTTGTATATACAAACAACAACACTGACTCTACTAGGAAAAATGTTTCCCCACAAAAGGGAAATATCGCTTTATTTAAAATATCACAATGCCTTTCTTAATGCACATTCCTCTAGCATCCCCACCCCTGCAACTTCCACTCTTAAACAAGCAGTCATTCAGCCTTCTGGACTGAAAGCACCCCTCCACACACGGTTTTAAAGCTGGGCCTACTCAGGACCCATATTTCCCCCCTTTTCTTTGCCTTTTCCTGGAAGAAATTATTTGACCTTTTAAAATGGTTTAATAAAGACTCTGTCGCTCTCCAGATAGCTTGTTGCCTTGAACCTCTGTGGCTGGCGTCACCTTTCCAGAACTGCCACACCTCTGGCTGGACTTGAACCTGTGGAGCAGAGGTGGCCTCAGATATTACCGTGGGAAAGAGGAAATAAGGAAGAGATAGTGAGAGAGGGAGGAGGAGGAGGAGAGAGAGAGAGGTCCGGACCTCTCCTCAAGAAGGGGAGGAAAAGTCCTCCTAGTGAGAAGTCAGTGCTGACTTTTCAAAGACAACAGGTAAACACCCATCATGACTGTCTGTCTAAACTGTAGCTAGGCTGTGACAGTAACGCTACGGGGTCGTTGGGAGGATTGCTTTACAGCATTTCACCTCTTCTCTCTGCGGTCCTCAACCACATTTGACCTAAATGTCCTCATAAGCTTCTGAATTACACGTGACTGAACAGCAAGGTAATTTGTTCCCGTGAGGATTCCTGAGGTTCACGCCAGCCGCTCGCCGAGGTACTTGGTGTGAGGAGCAGGCTGCTCCAGCCAGACTGCGCGTCGGTTTGGGCACCACAGAACCTTGCTTCCCTACTGTTTCCAATTTACAGTCAGAAGGTAAAAAGTGCACTAATTACATCCATATTAGGAACGGCGGGGGGGGGGGGGGGGGGGGTGGCGGGATGAGGCGACTAGGAGAGGAGGGAGGCCCCGGGGCTGCCAGTTGCCAGGCAACAACCGCGCTCTGCTCAATCGGGGCGGGGCGCTGCAGGCCTCAGGGCTGGGGGCGGGACCAGCAGGCGGCGGCGGGCGCAGGCGGCTTGGGGAGGTGCGGACAGAAACCCCAAGAGGCCCAAGAAACCCTCTTTTCCACCGTGGGGAACCACGTAAAGGCTCTTTTTGATACTGATCCTCGAGATCAACACCCCCAGCCTCCCCCTCCCCACTCCTCATCAGCCAACGACTTTCGAACGAAGGCCTAGCGGCAAAGGAAAGGGAGCCAACCTTCCCATAACTGGCGGGCCAGGATTTCTTTCCGACAGACACAAAGGCTTAGCCCCAGCCTTCAGGTCCAACAGGGACACTGCTCAGGACAAGGCAACGTCCCTGTTATTAGCCCAGAGGGCCTGGTAGCTGGGGAGGCTGCGGGTGGTAAAGCGTGGCCAGAAGCTTTCATCATGAGGAAAACAGTGCCCTCTGCTGGCAGCGTCCAGGAAGGTGGAATTCACCGGGCTTCTGGTACTGGCCCCCACCCCAGCCCTAGTCTTAGTCTGTGGTGCCAATATAGAACACCTATGCTGAGCTCATTCTTGCCCTCTGAAGGAATAACGGGGAGTGGAAAGGAGATAAACTGGGGCAGGAAGGAGACGGAGGCAAAATGGAAGGACAGGCGCAGGAGTTGTGGCCTACTTTTGTGGGTTCTCTCGATCTGGTAGAGACAAGCACAGAAGCCTCATATTTTCCCATGGCAAAAACCAGCAAAGAACCAAAGTGCAGTTTAACCAGACAATGGCAGACGCTGCTTCTCATGCCCATCCTGGGCTGGGAGTGTTTTGCCTGAAATACACAATTTCCACTGGCCTAATGGACGACGTTAGGTGTGTTTCTAAGTATATCACAATGGGAGAATGCAATGGGGACTGTACAGGGCAAAAGCCAGAAATAAGTAGATTCCATCCAGAACGCGTCTCGAAGTGAGCTGCCCTGCTAGGCAGAGGATCTTAGAGGGGAGGCCCCGCCCACGGCGTTCAAAGGAGAAAAGCAAAGCATAATGTTAGAATCAGCAGGAGCCCCATATGTTTTTTATAAAAAGGCACAATGTGAGCATTGTTCTGTGCTCAATAGCCCGACTGTTATAACTAATGCTTTTGGTATGAATACGACCATTTAAAATTCCTAATCAGTTGCACTTAGTGACAATATGCATCAGAAAACGAGCCCAGAAGCAGAGATTTCTCACTTTGAGGTCTGTTGGCTTTAGATACACATACACATGCCTATTAATGTGCCCAGCTTCCAAGAATACACTGAACATTTACATGAACAATGTTCTTGTCCCTGGCCTTAGCAGCTACAAATACTAAGGCAGATTTTCAATGTATGTTTGAGAACTGAACATTGATTCTATGTACACAGGACTGACACACAGAGGGGAGTGTGTGTCCTGTTTCATACCACTCTAGCCCTTAACTCCCAACCTTAGCCCATCCCCAAACTGCCATCTCCAGAACACAAGAAAAGCTGCCTCTGCAGCTCCTCAGCACCACCCCCACAATAATAGGTCTCCAGGTCCCCCATGACTCACCTTCAACTCCCATCCCCCCAACTGCCCTCCTTAAGCCTGGGTGACCTAGTGGGGACTCCAAAGGAAAGGCGGATAAATTCAGTTTATCCAGTTATCCAACATAATTGGAAGAGGAAGAAAGTTCTTTCTGGGTCTTGGAATGAATGTCCCCAAATGTCCAAGTGTACTTGACATTCATCAGGGTTTTTAGGCAGCAAAGCATCTGAATCCATTTTCCATTTGGGGAAGTTCCCTATCCCTTGTCTTGAAGGGAGGCAGTCCCCCACTTCCACTATACTACTCATGTCTGGGGCTTGGGTAAAAACCAGCAAAAGAGACCTGGCCTCAGCCAATCAGGCCTAGGCTTTTGTGGTAATAATGCAATCACCAGAATATTTAGGGACTACTGGTGACAGCATCTGCTTGGCCCCTCCAGTTTTCAAGCCTGTTTCTTCAGTCTTTCTAGGGATCCCCAGGGCTGAGTGATGTCCTCCAACAAATCTCTTTTCTGCTCTAGTCTGGCAGGTGTCTGTAGTTTGCAAACAAGATCCCTCCTCCAAGCCAGGCTCCAGGTGATACCGCACACTTCTCACATCAATTTTTTATTGAGAGGGAAAAAAATGGCCATTTTGCATCTTCAGTTGAAGTGCTCCTCTGACTTGTCTCCTCTCCCTCCAACCAACCCTGACCGAAAAGGGGGAATACTGCAGACTTTAAAATTCATAAGTTAATTACCAAATAATCCGCAAGACTTGGGTAAGGCCACATGAGAACACCTGGAAAAAGTACCCCAGTACTTTCGGGTCTTCCTCACCCCAAGGGAAAAGCACCGAATAAACCAGCGTCATCCCAATCACGTGGGTGAGAGGCAGGGGCAATGCTCCTCACCCCCCCCCCCTGTAACTAGATGAGGGGAGGGGGGAAGGGCGGTTTATCCGGAGGACGGGTGCCTGGGGGCCAGGCCGGCCTGGGAGTCGCAGGACGACGGCCAAGGTCGGTCCTGACTGTGTCCAGTTGGTCCTGAAGGAGGCGGACCCTCTCGTCCAGGCTGCGCTGCTGGGCCAGGACAGCGGCCTTGCCGACCAACAGGGCGCGATAGGCGCGCAGCTCGTCGGCGGGAAGTGCGCGCGCCAGCACCTCGCGCACTGCCCGCTCGCGCCGTGCCACATGCTGCTTCAACTCCTTGGCGTCTTCCTGCTGCCGCTGCAGGAGCCCCAGTCGCTGCAGCAGAGAGACCTGGAGCCGCGGGGCGAGGGCGCCGTGAGCGGGGCGAGGATGCCGCCGCTCCCGGGAAGCTTCCAGCCGGAGCCCGCAGGCCCCTCACCACCCCGCCCTCCCCCAGCCCAAACCCGTTACCTGCTCGTCAGGGTCGCCGTCTGCGCCCGCCCGGGCCAGGGCGCGGTGCACGCGGTCCAGGCGACTGCCCAGCAGCAGCAGGAGGCCAAGCACGCGCTCTAGGTCGGCCATAAACCGGCTGAACC